GAGATGATGACGGCAATTGTAGCCTTCAAAGTACTCGACGCATATGGTTGCCTTCTATGAAACGTACCCGAATAAACGCATAAGGAAACTGTGTTAACGTTTGCCAGTCGTCTTATCCAGCGCCTCCACTGTCTGTCTAGTGCTGACCGATAGGAAAGCCAGCGAAATGATTTTGCGACCAACAGAAAACGCGGATGTCGAACAGTCAGGCGTACGACCATCGCAGAAACGTAGTGAACGTTGAGATTTGGATAGAAGAGAGTCTACCTTCATATATTTCGGCCATGATAAGTACAATTCCCGACCAAGTTCCGTTGATGAAAAAAAACCCAATGTTTCTTCTTGGGGCCATAAATTGCATTTTTGATAAAATTTTTTACCTCATATGACTTGAATAACGGCTTCATACCCGACAGAGTTATTGTCAATAAGGGACGTGTATGGATATTCCGGGACTGAATAGTAAGGCTTAAGCATTCCTTAAAAGCGCCTTTGCCAGAGGACGATGAATAACTGAAGACGCTCTCTAGGCTGACATGGCTAGTTACATATCCCAGAGTTTACTTGCATTTTACATCGTAAAATGTTGATTATCGAAGGAGCGTGCGGTCTCGGGACCACCACAAATCTCTAGCCGTTTCGCAAAGCCGACAGCGTGGTCCTGTTAGAATTCAGGCTATGAATCATTGATGGCCGCAAGAAGTTTAAAAATGGGCGTCCCATTCTTTTTGTTATTATTTTTTTCCACGTTTATCACCTACTTCTTTTACATTTTAATGCCTCTCTGCGGTTTATTTAGCTGCTTTGGAGAATATCGCTGTTCAAGTTACTTTGCGCGTTCGCGAACGTATTTTAACCTTAAGATTATATACTATTGTTTAAATACAGATTTTGAGTCTTGCACACACGTCTCGATTAGCGACCACAACTGACCTACGTTGGCCTGAAACAATCGACTAATAAGCGCAGAGCTTCCACTGCATCAAAGCCTCCTCCTCGGGGCATAAAGCTGAAACCTCAATGGTCAAACGTAACACCAGTAGCAGTGGTCGCCTAATCCTCTATGCAAAAGCTCCTGTAAGTGGAAAGTCGAGAAAGAGAGATTTTTTAAATAATAACACTCAAAAAGCAGGCAGTCACACGAAAAACGATAAACATGAATGCTCACTCACCCGTTGAAAGTAGCATAGATATATGCAGGTTGGGCGACGTTACTGTCCTTGATTGTCTAAGGTTTCCATCCCTGCATGCCGTTTTCTAGATTTGGCAGCACGAAAGACGTCCAATAATTTGGAAAAAACTGTCTTGGTCAAATCCCATAGAGGCTCGCCTAATGAGTTGCAATGTAGACATGGCCGACTTGGACGCCTTCGCGCAGTTCACTGTTAGTTCGAGTGAAGATGTTATCCAAATACCCTTAGTCCTTCTGAATGTCAACTTTATTTCAGTGGTGGATTGCGAAGGAAGAACGCCCTTGAACCGGAAGTTTTGAAGCTGCCAAGTTGAAGAAAACTGCACTTAATTACATTATAGGGCATAAGCGAGCGCCTCGGCCAGTTCTCGAGCCTGTTCAAGGTTATTTGCATGTAGTCACCGTCCGCCACATTGCGAATAACTTTCCACAATTTTGCGTTGCCAGCGAACAGGATGACCTCACAGTTTAGGCCTTGATGCAGCCATTTATGAAAGCGTGGAATAACGTGAGGCATAAAATTGAGCCCTATGGCACGTCACTAGCCGCGGTAACATCTGAGGACTGTTAGCGTCCGACCTGTCCTCTTAGGGATTGTCCAGTGAAAAGGTTCTGAAGCCATACAAGAGGGCTTCCACGAACTTCTACGTCGCGCAGTTTATGTATGAGACGTTAATGGGGAAGGCTGTCGAAGGTCTTTTGAAGTCTATGTAGTTGGCTGTTCGCAGACACCCGACTTCAGATCTTAAAGAGTGGAGTAAAGGTAACGAACTTCCAATCGGAGGGTAGACACCCAGTAGCAAATGACGCTTGAAATAGCAAGGCTAGCGGTTTGACTATTTCGGAAGCTAACACCTTCAGCAGCTTGACCAGGATTGCATTAGGGCCCGAGGAGGTTCATTGCTTCGGGTTTAGCAGCTCTTGTTTAGCAGGTGCTTCTGTGAAGAGGACTGATTCCGTGGTAGGCGTTTCTTCGTCTTCAAAAGTGAGTGGGAAAAAAACGGGTTCGCTTCTCAGGATGGACCAGAAAAACCGAAAGAGATGTTGAGCTTCATTCTTGGCGTCTGAGATTTTCTTACAACCCAGTCGTCCGCAACAGTGGGATTGAATCTCTTTTCCGCGTACTCTGCCTTATATAACTGTAAAGGACTTTAGGATTATTCTCGGCACGGTTCCAAAGGTCCTTTACGGAAACGTGCCGATCTCTGAAAATGAGAATTTTGACCAATTTCCTCTGTAAATTTCAACCGTTTAGGAATTCCTGCAACCAATCTTTTGCGAAATTTCTTCTTCTAGTTAACTTCCTTCCACAAGGATGGAATTAGACAGCGGGGTCTGTTCGTTTGTCTTCTTCGCATGATTGGACAGCGGTTGGAGATGAGGCTGCAGACTATCTCTTTTAGATGACCCCGAACCTTGTGGAGAGAACTTGTTCGAAAGCCGGCATGCTGAGATAGTTGAATTATTATAGAATTATGCTTGTCAATGATTAGTTTTACAACCCTGCTTAGTTAATCTTCTTAAAACGAAAAGGCATTTAAGAATTTCGGTCGACATTTCATGAGTTAGCCAACCTACTGTACATGCTCAACAACTGTGTCCAATCTCATTTTCTGGAAGGGGAAAAGAATGAAGATTATTATTTTTTACCTCTTCTACATGCGAAAATTCTGATTCCATTCTAAAGTGCTCACATCATAATTTGACCTTGACTAACCGTTTGCCAGTATGATTTTCGAGGAAGTGAAACCTGGATCGCATTGGCCGGGTTACCAGTATGCGTGCCAAACTCGGGAGACGTTAAATAGTGCCCGTTTACCATGCCCTACCCGCAACCTTTGTCCAGTACAAGATTACACTGCGACATCAACTCCAGCCAATGATGCTCATCGTCCGCTAAATGAAGGAAAAATATAGGTCCTCTATGCTTCCAATGCGTACTCTCTTTGGTCAAAAGAAATC